GCGGGGCGCCCGGGGCGGCGGCGGCAGCGCTCCGTAGGCGCAGCGCGGCGGAGCCGGGCCGAGGCGCGGCCATGGGGCACCCGCCGCTGGAGTTCAGCGACTGCTACCTGGACAGCCCCGACTTCCGAGAGCGCCTCAAGTGCTACGAGCAGGAGCTGGAGCGGACCAACAAGTTCATCAAGGAGGTGATCAAGGACGGCAACGCGCTCATCGCCGCCATCCGCGGTGAGCGGGCCGGGGCGGGGGTCCGGGCAGGGCTCGGCCGGTCGCCGCGGGGTGTCCCGTTCCCGTGCTGGAGCCGCTTCGGGCCCGTGCCCCGCATCGCTCCGGCAGGGCTGGCGTTCCGCGGAGCGTGTCCCTGTCCCTGCAGTGCCACCCCCGCTGCTGTCCCCTCGCAGGGTCCCCCGTCCCGCTGGGTTGACACCGGCGGCGGGACCGGCCGAGCGTTGGCAGCGTGGATGTGCTGGTTTGGGGACAGCCGCCCGGGGAAGGTGCTCCGTTATTCCCCGAGCATCTCCCGGGCGCGGGGGGAGCGGGGCGGGTTCGTCCTCGGCCATCCCCTGAGAGGGGCCCTGCAGCGCCCTGCTGGAAGCCCTCCCTTTGTTGTCGGTGTTCTGTCATTCTTCAAATCACGGTGAGCATTTTTCCCAGCGAAATGTCGATTTCAGTGTTGACTTTGAGGGAGTCGCCTGTTCAGAAGTGCTGACAGATCACCAGAGCACCTGGGCCAGGTTGTGTCATCTGAAACCGCCGAGTCCCACGTGTTTGACACTGACCTTCTGACTGCTTAGATTTGTTTTTGTTTTCCCTCCCCACAGCTGTGGATCCCCCTTCATACACACCTACCCTGTGTCATCTCCCTGGACTCCATGATCTTAGAGGTCTTTTCCAGTCCAGATGATTCCAGGATTCTCTGCCGTTATCCATGCAGCAGAATCCAGGCCCAGGCCACCAGAGCATCCATGGGGGCAGTGGAGGGACACAGACAATCCACGCTGGTCACACACGGTTTTCCTGCCAGCTGGTTGGTTTCAGTTGGTGTTAATAGGTTTAGCTGCTGCCCTTTTGTTCAGAATAATTCAGAGCTTCCTTGTTATCGAGGCTGTGGCTGGAATAGCCCGTGTTTGCCCATCTGGAAGCAGCAGAGACAAAAGCTGGTGTGACTGAAACTGCCGACGTCACAGGGCTGTGAGACCTCACGTGGGTACAAAAACTCAAATCTGCACAGTCCAGGGCAAAGAAAAACCCCAACAAAATGGAAATCAGAGGGATTAAACCAAACCTGCTTGCTAGTGGAAATGTTTTTCTTCATCACTTTGTTCAAAACCATTTCCCTTTTCAGTGTTGGTAGCACACAGGGATGTGAGGGATTTCGCTGGGTCAGCAGACCCGGCCCAGGGAGACTGGCCAGGGAGGAAGGGCAGAAGCAGAAGAAAGCAGAGCACACCCAGGCAGCACTGAGAGCCCTCAGGGATGAGGATTTCTTGCCTGAAATACTGTGGGGTGTTTTTGTAGCTGACCCAGCAGGCTGCCAGGGAGGTGCTGGGGCCCATCCTGCCTGGGCTTCCATCAGCTCCCTGTGTTTAGTTAACAGATAACTTAAAAAAATATATACATCTCTGAATCCTACCCATGTGGAGCTGTGGGTGGGAATCTGGGGTGCTCACTGGCCACTGGCTGACAGTCTCTCTGTGCCCCCTGACAGGGTGGGGGGACAGTCCCTCTGTGCCCTCAGCTGCTGGGATGCAAAAGCAGTGGTGGTCCCATCAGGAGAGTGAGATCCAGTGAGGACAGAGGGTGAAATACCTGAAAAGGGCTACAAGAAGGGTGGAGAGGGACTTTGGACAAGGGATGGAGTGATGGGACAACAGGGAATGGCTTCACACTGAAAGAGAGCAGAGTTAGATGGAAAAACAGAGAGAAATTCTTCCCTGTGAGGGTGGTGAGGCCCTGGCAGAGGTTGCCCAGGGAAGCTGTAGCTGCCCTGGAAGTGTCCAGGCCAGGTTACCTGAATGAAGGTGGTGCTTTAGGGGGCTTTAAACTCCTTTGGCCTTCCATGGTTAAGGGAAACTGGTTCCATTCCCTCCACCCAACTGATGTGTCACCAGCTGGAAAAAATAAAATTCCAGGGGTGAAGCTCTTCGAGGGGCCTGCAGCCCACCATATCCTGGGGAGAGTCATCCTGCAGCCACAGCCCTACCAGTGCAGCCTTTGAGTGTGGTACTTTCTCTTGTCAACTGACATCCCCCAGCAGCTGAGGACTCACAACTACCTGGGACACCACCAGGGGACAAAGTATTCGGTATTGCCATGTGGGGAAATAAACTGACTAAAGCAGAGAATAATATTGTTCATTTGTAACAGTCTTGGTTGTGAAAGACAGTAATAGAAAATAATACTTTGAGTCAGAAATGGAAATTATTTTTGCTGTAAAGTTGGCTGCGTCCCTTGTTTTTTTGTGCCAGCAGTATGGAGAGTCACTGGCAGTGCCAAGTGACAGTGCTGGTCCCACACGTTGTACTGGCAGTGCTGAGACCACCGTGGCCTGTCCTTGGTCAGGCAGGGAGAAGGAGGTGTCTGTCCCTTCATGCCCATCCCCTGGGCTGGCCAGGATCAGGACCTGATGTGGGCACTGGGGATTCAGCTCCAGCAGCAGCTTGTCCATGGCCAGCACTGGTGACAGAGGAGCTTTGCTCAGGGCATGTGCTCTAGGCCACTGGGGTGTCACAGGTTGTGACTCCATGGCATCACTGTGGCTGCAAGAATGGCTGCTTTACAGCAGTTTCTTTCTGTGCTTTGTGTAGGTTTCTTTAATCTCTCCTGCTTACTGTGCTCAGCTGTGTGTATGATAATGCAAAATCACCTATTTCCCCTGGTCTTTGATCTTCTCTCCCAATTAAATATCAAATGGAGTTGGAGAAATGTCAGATGAAGGCTTTTCTCATTAGTACCTGTGAGTGCTTTGATGGTAAAAATTGTCCTTTCAAGCTCAAAGAGCTGTGAGTTCTCATGCAAATGTTTTGTATGTGGTTTTGCACTTGATTTCTGTCCAGCGTGGAGCTCTGCAGAGTGCCTGGGACTGTGCTGGCAGTTCCCAGCCTCCCCAGGTACTGTGAGCACTTCATCCTGAAGGATAATGTGACAAAAGAATCATCATCATCATCATCATCATCATCATCATCATCATCATTCCTGCAGCGCTGTGTGTGGGAACTGGGTGTCCCCTCAGGGAACTCTTGTGTCCCCCAGCATGGCAGACCTGTTCTGGACAGGTTTCTGTGCTGTTGTTGGATGTGGTGCCTGGGGGTTTAATGCTGTGGAGTGTGGGAAGCAGTGTGGCATTGGAACAGGTTATTTTAATGGGATTGAAGTACTGGAACAGGTTATTTTAATGGGATTGAAGCACTGGAACAGGTTATTTCAATGGGATTGAAGCACTGGAACAGGTTATTTCAATGGGATTGAAGCCACCCAGAGTGGCCTGTCTGCCCAGTTCCCCAGAACCCCATGTCTTGGTTCATGGGAAGGCTGTGGGGACAATGGAATCTGTTCCTGCAGCATGATAGCCAGATCCTGGGGAATGTGTCTGAACAACCCTAAAGCTCCTCTGGAACATGGGGAAGAAGAGATCCTATCCCACACGAGGAGAGGCTGCAGCTCTCCAGGCAAGCATCAGCTTTGCTGGGAGGCACAGCTGCAGTGACAGTGTCCTGTCCCACAAAGACAGCTGAGCCATGAGACAGTGAGGAGCAGGAGGAAATGACCTGCTGGAAAACATCACTCCCTCCAGCAATATGTGATCTCTTGTTGGCTCCTTGCTGGTCTTCCCCATCCTCACTGGGGATTTCAGCCAGTAAGGGCACCAGTTACTGCTGGTAACTTGTAAAATTGTCCTCTAACTTGCCAGCTCTGTCTCAAAAGGCATCACACCCATAGCCAGAGCCCAGCTCTCCCTGGGAGCATCGGCACCCTGCGGGCATCCTCAGCTCAGCTGGGCACAGGGGGTCTCTGCAGCCCACAGCTGCTGATGGAGCAGCTCCTGGGCTCTGAGCTCTGAGCACAGAACGAGGGCCCCAGTTGGTGTAAATCTAAACCAGACACGCTTTAACCAGACACTAAAACACAATAGCAGAAAAAAGAACAAAAACTCTCCCCAAAGCCAGCTCACCCCCAGCGCCAGCGCTGTATCCTCAGTGCAGGCAGGAGAGAGGAGAGGCTGGCACAGGATCTACCAGATCCAGCTGCGAGGCAGATCCCACCCGTGTTCTGGGGCTCAGGGATGTGTTTGCTGGGCTTTGCTCCCCCGGAGCAGCTCTCTGGCTGGGCAGGTTGTCTCTGTTGGGTTTGCTTTGCCAGTGGCTGAGGTGCCAGGCTGGGCACGGGATGGTTTGGCTGTGCCATGATGTCCCCAGGCCTGGCTCCTTGTCCCTCACTCCCTCCCTGCTGAGGTCCTGGGTTCCCCAGCCACCCCCCTTGGCTCTTGCTGGTTACAGCTGCTCCATCCATGCCCAGGTGTGCCCTGGGTTTGTTTTAGGAAGCCCAGGGCAGGGGTGGAAGCCAGCCCTGTCTCTGCCAGCTCGGGGGCTGGTGGGAGGACTCTGGGCCAGCCTTGGCCCAGCTTAAACAAATCAATGTGCAATATTTTGTGATGGCTTTTTCCAGCCCAGATATGCTTCCCAAGGACTTGCCTGCGTACAGCAGCACAAGGGGCCAGGACAAAAGGCAAAATTGTTTTCATGTGTTTAAGGATATTTTTTCTAGTGCTGCACATGAGGCATACAGGGAGCTTTTCATCCATCTTCTGCTGCCTTTTCTGGCTCCTTCCCTGGGAGGATGTGGGTGTTATCCATGCTCTGTGTGTCTCACAGCCCACGGCTCACAGCAGCACTACTGCTGACCTAAGAGTTTCCTCTTGAGTCACTGTATGAGGACTCAGCTTTTCTGGCTTTTTACTTGAGGTATTGTTGGAATATTTTATTCCTAATGCCGTTGGTGGCACACTGATAACTACAGATGTGGCATCCCAGGCTTTTCTGTCCTGCAGGGTGCCAGCCTGTCTCAGAGGAGTGCCAGTGCTGTGCCCGCTCTGTTCTGCTGCAGCAGGCAGCCAGACACCTGTGGCCCATCCTGGCCATGCTGCATCCTCCTGCCCACGCAGCGTGGCTCTGGCACTGATCCCTGGCTGCCCAGCCATGGATCTGGGCTGCAGGGAGAGCCTGCAGTGC